AACACTAATAAGCTCAAGACACATTTAAAAATGTATTTAAGAGGAAGTCAAGAAGTTGGGAGCCAGTTCCTAAACTTTAAGGCAGATTTAATGAAGGGCAAATACCACATCTTCCCTCAAAAGAATGGCCTTTGGAGACAGAAACTCTGTTCCACCTTAACAGCTCTGTGCCCTTGCAGCAATTACTGACTCTAGCTAAGCCTCAGTGTTCTTATCTTTTAAATGGAAATAAAATACTCACCCTACAAGGTTGTTTACAAACATTAGATGAGATCACTAACTCATCTATATATACTAACTGCCTAGTCTTTGGTTGGAAAAATCCAGGCCCAGTAGATACAACCATCCTCATGGCTCCCCAACACCGAGGCCAAGTGTCAGCTGGCATTAATCCTAAGGCATGGCGTTCTGTACCCGGTTGATCCCTGGGGCACTTGAGTGCATGACCCCTGAGCTGGGGCAACCCCATTGTCTTATAGATGAGGAAACCAAGGTGATATCTCACGTGGCTCACTGCTGCCTGTAGATTTCTTAGATGGTCCCTGGGGCCCCAGTGTAAGCAAGAATCCTGGGCTGGATGGATCTTAAAATCACATCATCTATATACCATTTCTCAAATGATTTTATAACTAGAGTTCATCTAGTCTAAAGAATAGAGCATATTCTCTAGAGAATAAGGCTAGCTCGTTCTATGCTAATTTAGTAAAAGTGAAGGTAATGGTGGTGCTTAGCAGTCAGAGTAATTGTAATTTATTAAGCACTTACTATGAGCCAAGCATCCTGCTAAGCATGAAACATGTCTTTGTCTTATTTTGCATAATCACCCCAACTGCCAGAATCCTCCTTTGCACTAATCCTCAGACCTGAGGAAGCTGGCACGAAAAAATGTCTTCAGTCTCTCCGTAGGATCTATCTGTGTGCTGATGTACTGTGCCCAAATCAAATCCTTTCTAAATTCTAAACGTGCTATGTGTGGTTCTAAGTGGGCAATTGAGAGACAGGTATCTCTGGAAATAAAACACAAGAGATAGAATCTGGAGCCACCCCCATTTGATAGTGACTTATAATTATATAATATATTTCGTATTGCTCAATCACGTCTAGAAGATGGATTGCAGGGTGGAGTGGGAGAGGTGCCTTCCAGTCTATTCCAATGAAATGTTTCTGTGTTATCACAAAACGAGAAGTTCTGGAAGGTAAGGGGGTTAGAAATGCCTGGCTTCCTTGGAGACATGCCAGGTCGAGGAAATAAACAGATATAGTTCCCACTAAACACGGATGCCCTAAAAAAAAGTGTTTCCTATCATGCTGCCAAGGCAATGTTAGCTGCTTACAATATAAATTCAGGGGGAGAAGTAAGAGGGATACTGAGTAGTGTTTGGGGAGTGAGTAAAGCAGAAAATAAGAAAAAGATACTTATTCCAATATTGTTGATAAAGTATAAACTCCTACACCTGAGTCAAGTGGCAGCCCTGATTCTTAAACAAATGAAAGTCTGGTCAACCTGACAATTAAATGGTACCCACAGTACTAGCCCCCAATATTTCATGAGTGGCTAGGGGTAACAGAACACTGGAGTAGGACAGGCTCTTAGAGACGTTCAGTCCAGAGGTCACAACTGGCAGCCCCCAGACATTGTCTTCTTTGGTTTTCCTAAGACTAATTCAGACGACATTTTAACATTATTTACTTAATTGCCAATATTTAAAAAATTTAAAGACTTCAGGGTCAGCCCTGGTTGCCTAGTGGTTAAGTTTGGCCAACTCTGCTTTGGTGGCCTGGGTTCAGTTCCCGGGTGAGGACCTATACCACCCCTCAGTGGACATGTGGCAGCAGCCCACATACAAACTAGAGGAAGATTGGCCACAGATGTTAACTCAGCAATAAATAAATAAATAAATAAATAAACAAATAAATAAAAGACTTCACATAAAAATCCAGATCTCTAGTATCTCTTTAAAAAGATGAGAAAATAGGCAAACACTGGACCTACATTTTTACCTCCCAACCACTCAGCACCCCATAATTGGTCCCTAGTATCCCCATAGTTCCCTAATGCTGAGGCCAACGGTCAGCTAGCATTAATCCTTGAAATGGCACTTTGTTACTTGGCTCATCCCTGTGAGCCCTCATAGCTCACCACTGCCTTTAGGCCGAGTCCCAGTGCTACCACAGGCAAGGCCACTCACAGAAGGTCCCTGCTGACCTCTCTTGCCAGCTCCCCAAAGGAATCCTATGGTCCAGCCACACTAGATGGACCCTCAGCATGCATGGTCGAGGCTCTGTTCCCTCTGTCTCAAACGTCCTTCCCTGTATCAGACTCTTGCCCATCCTTTCAAACGCAGATTAGTTCCATCCTCACTCTCCAGCAGGAAGTGTCCACACAGCATATTATACCCACTTCAGCAACAGACTGCAGAGTCCTCCAGGGGAAGATCAATGTTAAAGTCCTCTTTTTTATACCTCTGGTGCCTACCACATGACGCATCATGAGCTTTGAATAAATCTGGGGTTCAGAGAGGATAAACAATTTGCCGTTGGAGACATAGGTAATTATACTCATAACATATAGTTGGAAAAAACAGGTTAAAAGCATTGTCAGCCCATGAGGAACACTCAGACTGATGAACCATCAAGTAAGTGATACTGAAAACTTTATCTCAGTGACAAATGCAGTTCCCACCAGGCTCACTCCAGAGGTAGGGACTGCCGGATCAATGTGGCTTGTGAGGTGTCAGAAGAACCCCAAGGGTCCCAGATATCTCCCAAACCAGCCTGCCAAGGTGCCTTAACGTCCACCATATAAACTTACCTGCATTAAGATTTTTTCTGTTAAAATGCAGCACCCCCTCTCCTCCCCTCCCCAAGAGCCGGTGCATTAGGCAATTCTTAAAGGTTAGCACAGCTTCAGTTAACTTATCAACTATTTTTCTCTCTGATGCATTTATCCTGGAATATGGGTAAGTTGTGATAGAGTTAAATAAAGGTAAAGTTCCAGGAGAGGGAACGGGCCTGAGCATCTGAAGTTAGAGATGGGAAGAGACAGTGTAACACAGTGGTTAAGGGCAAGGCCTGTGGGAACCAAAGCGGCTGGATCCAGTTCTGCTACCTGCTAGGCGAGTGCCCTTTGCTAGTCATCTTCTGTGCCTCCTTTTCCTCGTTTGGATAGAAGATGCTGTTAACAAGAGGATCTGCCTCAACGGAGCATCCAGAGAATTAAACGAGCCAATATAGAGCAAGCATTCCAACAGCGCCTGACACAGAGGGAGCCCTGTATAAGTGTCTGCTGCTGTCACTACTGGGCGAGGATGGCATGAGATTTAGCCCTGAAAGGGGCTGCCCCAGTTCTACTACCTGCTGGTCCTTTCCCAGTTTACTGATGAAGGGTACAAGGTCTAGAGAGGAGGAGCAGCTGACCGAAGGCTACAGGCAAGCGGACGGCAGAGCTAGGGCTTCCTCTGCAGGGCACGTCCCTCCCCGCGCGCCCCCGCAGGGAGCTCACCGACGAGCGAGAGAGGAAGGGGCTGTGGGAGAGCGAGAGAAACAGAGAGCGAGCTCCAGCCTCTCTCGCTTCTAGGGATAGGGGGACCCAGGCCCTTTGGGACTTCTCCCCAGAGTCAATTCCATGTCCCCGCTCTCGGGTGGGCTCGATGTCTGAGCAAACGCCACCCTCTGACACACAAGCCCACACCCCCCGCGCCTGGGCGTACCCTCTAAGTCTGGCACAGCGCGCCAACTCGCTGCCCCGCTGGGAGGACGAGTCAACAGTGGGGTGGACGGGAAAAGTGACACAATCGGCCGTGCTGCGCTCCCAGCCAACCTCCCACGCAGCGCGGGGCGGGCCTCGGCGCCGGCCGGGGTGCGGGCTGGGGCTGGGCTGCGGCGGGCTCCCCGCGCCCGCGTGCCCGCACGCCCGCCACAACCGGGGCCCGGCGGCCCGAGGCCCGAGCGCGGGCGCTGCGCAGCAACGCGGCGGCCGCGCGGTCGCCGGCCCGCTCCTGGGGCCGCCGCCGCCACCGCCCCCCAGAGCTGGATGACGGAGTCTTGAAAGACTTTCACCAAATATGGGCTGGGGCTGGAAACGTCCTGCGCCGCGCGCCGCCGGAAACCTCGAGTCCTGGCAACCGCGGCGACTGGGGGCGCGCAGGCCGGGCAGCCGGCAGGGGGCGGCGGGTAGCAGGCGGCCGCGCGCGCCCCGCAGCTCCAGCCCCCGGCCGCGCCAACCCTGCTCCCTGTCCCGCAGGGGTCCTGCGGGCAGCCGAGGCCCTCCCGATGCGTCTGCCACCCAGTTCCCGCCGCCCTCCCTCCCGGCTTCCTCTGGCTCCCTCCAAGATCACTCCAACACACGGGGTGGGGGCAGGGTGGAGGGGAAGAGGATGGCATGGGGCCGCCACCTTAAAGCTGACCTTTCGCAGTCACCGCAGATTTTTCTGTTCATTAAGGTGGCTATAAAAAGCGGAGTTGTGAGACTGGGTGTGCAGGCGAGTACCTGACTATGAAGACACACGCACGCACACACACAGCCATTACAGGCGCTCCTGTCGTCCAAGACTGGTTCTCAGGGTGTGATTCCCCGAACCCGCAGCATCAGCATCACCTCGGGACCTGTTAGAAACGTAACTAATAGGAAATGCTGAGGTGGGGCCCAGCGAGTCAGTCTTTTAACCAGCCCTCCAGGTGATTCTGAGACGTGCCAGAATTTGAGAACCACTGGTCTGGGGCTAGGAAACCGGAGTCGCCAGGTTTAGGGCGATTATTGTTCTCAGTTGCTGCCAGACAGTGAACCCTTCTTTTGGTGACCTAAAATTCCCTGGCAGCAGTGGGTGAGAGACGTCCCCACCGCTCAGCCCAAAGCTGCAGGAGACAAGCAGCCCCTTCTCCGTGCCTTGCAGCCCAAAGAAACAAGGCGGCCGTTATTCCCTCGTGGGGCACCCGTATTGGGAGGGAGGGAGGAAAAAGAGCAAAGGAGCCATGCAGAATTAGCACCCGAAGACACTTACCCATAAACATTTGCACATTTCCCTTCCAATCTGTCAAGGTGAACTGATCTGCGGCTCTCAGCAGAGGAGGCGAGAAGGCGAGGGGACGACTGGGGTTTCTGGACCGTCCTTGAGCAGGACATGAGGAGCTGCTCTTCCTCTCGCTTGGTGCTGTCCTTTACTAGCAGGCGCACCAGGACATAGCATACGGAAAGGCTGTGCACATAGGTTACTCCAGCCTCTCCGGCTCCCCCACCTCCTGGCCCTGTTTACTCCAGCTCCCAGCCCCCTCCCACAACACACCCCTTGCTTTAAATGGGCAGCTGACGGTAAGGTTCTCTAAGTTTCTCCTCTGGGGCAAACTCATCCTCGAAGATTCCCAGTTGAAGTCCAGAAACGAACCCACACACCCTTGTTAGAAAACTTTAATCTGATTTTTAAAGGAATCTCTGGAATGGCGTGTGTTTGAACGCTGTGCAGCAGGCTGAATCTCTTTGCGCAGCCCCCACCCCTTCAATAAAAGAACAAGGTATATACACGGGCCAGTTGGATCATTCATTGTAATTTTATTTTAAATCATGATAGACAGGTTGCGTGAAAAACAAGGAATTCCAAAGAATTTCCTGCTCTGGGAACAGAAGTTAAGTCTATATTTAACAACATTTGAAGCTGTCAAGAATGCTTTGTGGTTGGATAACAGAGGCAGAAAAATGTTAAAAACGCAGGCTACTGCTATACCCAAATATGGAAATATTGTTACGTCTGGTGTCTGATTCACCATCTGGAAATACTTACAACCATGAAGTCAAATAGAAAAGACGCCACAACAGAAGCCAGGAACGCTCCTCTCCATTCTCTCTCCATCACCTCCTCCCACCCAGCACTGCGCATACTCACCTCGCCCCCCCATCACTTCATTAAGAAGGAAACAATAATGAAACTCTAATACAGGAAAAGAACGTTTCCTAAATAGCAATTGATGGATTGGCTTGGGTAAGATATAGGGCCCAGACTTTCCTCACTTTTTTGGCATAATACCTGACGATCTATCGTCTTGAGAGGTAAACCCCCCACCCCACATCCCTCCAACAAAGCCTTTGAGATCCTACTCCCCCAAGCAAAAGCCTCTTAGACTTATGAAAGGGCACTTTGGAATGAATGAAACTTAACTCTTTCCTGCCACAGTTCTCCTCACTGGAGAATGTTTTCACTGCAATAGTTTCTCACTGTGCTTATCGGTCATTCACAGAAAAGTCGGCACTAAAGGCCTTCTTAAATAAGACTTAAATTATGAAGACTGAACAGCCCTGAACATTAAAAAGGACAAGGAGTCCCGGAGCACAAGTAAAAGGGAGACTCCCATAATTACTTGTGTATGTTTTTATTAAAATTACACAAGAAGATAGTTTTTGAAACCTTGAGGGAAAATTTATCAGCACACTATCAAAACGATACTGATGATGACTGATGACATTAAAATGAATTGCCTCATAGAGTCTTCTGCTGAGTATGTTGCAGGTAGAATAGGATCTTAAAAGTTGCCAACATTTTTATTACAGAATATTACGTCCCAAACCTTATTTCTCTGTACTGGGAGAGAAAAGCACTGCAATTCACTTGAAATGGGAGGCTTCTAAATGGTCCCAAGGAAAGGAGCTAAAACTCGCACAAAACTTTCAGCTTTAAGAAGTCTGCCTTTCCCGGAGATCCATTGGGTACAGCGGTGTTGGAATCTGGTTTGGCCTTGCAGTTTACGCAGGGGATGACCTCAGTACAAATCTTTCCATGGTGGTCCCCTCCGCTTCTGGCTGGCTGCTTAGTTATCATCGCCTCCCGCCCGCGGAGGGATGCTGGATGGGCTTACCCCGTCTCCCGCATCCGTAGGAAGTGTAAGCCAGCCTCCCGGAGAACTCCCTGCGTTCGTTTCCTCCCGGACTTCCAACCCAGGCAGTGGGCTGGAACAAAGTGGGAACCTCCAAAAACAAACAAGTACGACACACCAAAAAGGGGAGGGGGGGGCCGAAGGGGGAAGACCTCTGATTGGGAAGCTGCCAAACATGGGGGAAGTTGATTTTTTTTTTCTCGTTCTCATTCATAAACGCCACTGCGGGTATTAATTTGCAATACACAACTTGGCTAATAAACACCATGCCAAAGCTTTGGGACTTGATCCGAGCATGCCTCTATGAAGTCCACAAATAGATTCCTGGCTGCAGGCACAGTCCCCCTCCCCGTTCGCCTCTCTCAATAGATAACTTGACTCTCACCTTCGCTGTAAACAAGCAAACAGCTCGCTGCCTTCCCGGGTGAGGGCTTCCAAGGCTGCCCGGTCAACTCGGCATCACCAAACAAAACGACTTTTGTTCGTCCCAACCAGGTCCTCCCACCCTCCCAGTCCAAGCAAAGTTCTGAACTCGCCCCCCTCGTCCCTTCCACCACCATCACCACCAGCACGCCAATAGAAGTCGTTATTTAAAGTGGAAAAAACGGGAGATTGTTTTCTTGACGCGTCCAGGACCAGGAAAAAAAAAAAAAAAAAAAAAGGTGCAACGGAGCCAGGGGAGGCGCTTGGCAGCAGCCCGCGCCAACCAGCATTCCTGAGATGTTTGAGAATTCTGGAACGCGCAGACAGAGCCGACGTCACTGCAACACGCGGCGCAGCAGCTGGCCCGTATAAAAGGCGGGCTCTGGGCGCTTGGGCAGACCGCGAGCGAGAGCGCCCCCGAGCAGCACCCGCGCCCTCCGCGCCTCCTGCGAAGGATCTCGAGAGAAGGACGCCGAGTCCGCTCCCGCCCCGGCCCTCGCCGCTCTGCCAACCGGCCCAGCGCACCCGCCGCCCCGAGCCCGCCGCGCCGGCCCTCCTGCTGCGCCCCGGTGTGTTGGCGTCTTCTCTTCCGCGCTCGCCCGGGCTCCTCCTGCGCGCCACAATGAGCTCCCGCACCGCCAGGACGCTCGCCTTCGCCGTCACCCTGCTCCACTTGGCCAGGCTGGTGAGTTCTTTGGCCACCGCTTCCCCGTCCGCTCTCCCAGCCCCTTCCCCTTCCCGTAGATTGACCACGGCAGAAAAGAAACTAAACTAAAAAGTCCGGCGGCGTTTCGGGGGAGCTCTTTCCTTAAGCCCCTGAAGACGTGTCGCGGGCCTCCTGGCGCGCGCAGCCGCCCGGAGTGGCCAGGCTAGACGGGATCAGAGACCCCCTGCCGACAGGGTCCGCGACCCCCAGTCCCTTCCCCTGCACCTCTCCTGCGCCCCGCGCCGAGTCTCACGCGTGTCTTCTCCCTCTCCAGGCGCTCTCCACCTGCCCCGCCGCCTGCCACTGTCCCCTGGAGGCGCCCAAGTGCGCCCCGGGAGTCGGGCTGGTCCGGGACGGCTGCGGCTGCTGTAAGGTCTGCGCCAAGCAGCTCAACGAGGACTGCAGCAAAACGCAGCCCTGCGACCACACCAAGGGGCTGGAATGCAATTTCGGCGCCAGCTCCACCGCTCTGAAGGGGATCTGCAGAGGTAAGATGCTTGTGGTTTGGCCCCTTTAAAAAAATAATAGTCCCCGTAGTCCAGAAGTTTAGTAATTTTGAGACCATGTATGGTGATGCTTTGTTGTTGGTAGCTTGGCAGAAAGGCACATGATTTCAGCAGTCTGGAATGCAATTCAGTGTGTCTGGGCCCAACGAAAAGCGCATACGGAAAAGTGATTCCTGACTAACTTATTGTTCTGGTCTGGAGTCTCCGGGGAATTGCAGGGAACTTTACCATAAATTGAATTTAACAGCAGAAAATATGTATGAGTTTCAGGCCGTGTGTAGTTCGGAATCTTAACCTTATCCTCTTCTCCCTTTCTCTTTTGGTGCTCTTTACAGCTCAGTCAGAGGGCAGACCTTGTGAATATAACTCCAGAATCTACCAGAACGGGGAAAGTTTCCAGCCCAACTGTAAACATCAGTGCACATGTATTGATGGCGCTGTGGGTTGCATTCCTCTGTGTCCCCAAGAGCTCTCCCTCCCTAACTTGGGCTGTCCCAACCCTCGGCTGGTCAAAGTTACCGGGCAGTGCTGTGAGGAATGGGTCTGTGATGAGGATGGTGCCAAGGACCCCATGGACGACAGGGACGACCTCCTGGGCAAGGGGCTGCCATTGGATGCCTCAGAGGTGGAGTTAACAAGAAACAATGAATTAATTGCAGTTGGAAAAGGCGGCTCCCTGAAGCGGCTCCCTGGTAAGTGGAGACTAAGCCCATAAGACATTGTACTGAAATACTTTCCTAGTTTGAATCTTTACAGAAATGAGTTCTTGGATCTGTGTGTGTCAGGATGCCTCTGAGAAATCTCCCCTCTTGTTTGTCTCTAGTTTTTGGAATGGAACCTCGCATCCTATACAACCCTTCTTTACACGGCCAGAAATGTATTGTTCAAACAACTTCGTGGTCCCAGTGTTCAAAGACCTGTGGAACTGGTATCTCCACGCGGGTTACCAATGACAACCCTGAATGCCGCCTGGTGAAAGAAACCCGGATTTGTGAAGTGCGGCCTTGTGGACAGCCGGTGTACAGCAGCCTGAAAGTAAGTTCCTGAGGGGCGTGTAGGCTGTTCCCTGGCAGCTGGGTGAGATGTGCACTGCTCTTCCAAGAAAGAAGCCTCGTCCCTAACTTTCCTTCTCTCCTCTTTCTTACAGAAGGGCAAGAAATGCAGCAAGACCAAGAAATCCCCCGAACCAGTCAAGTTTACTTACGCTGGATGTTCAAGTGTGAAGAAATACCGGCCCAAATACTGCGGCTCCTGCGTGGACGGCCGATGCTGCACACCCCTGCAGACCAGGACTGTGAAGATGCGGTTCCGCTGCGAAGATGGGGAGATGTTTTCCAAGAACGTCATGATGATCCAGTCCTGCAAGTGCAACTACAACTGCCCGCATGCCAACGAGGCAGCGTTTCCCTTCTACCGGCTGTTCAACGACATCCACAAATTTAGGGACTAAATGCCACCTGGGTTTCCAGCACAAGGGTGGACGGATGGGGAGAAGAGTGCCAGAATCACGGAGACATGGGTGGGGGCGGCAGGGGTGAAGGGACTCATTGTAGAAGGGATGCATTGCTCATTCTCGAGTAGTATTGATGTATTTCGAAACTGCCAGGTGTGCTGGTGCAGATGGACACTAACACAGCCGCAATTGGAGAATACTTTGCTTCATAATATTGGAGCACACGTTACTGCTTCATTTTGGAGCTTGTGCTGTTGATGACGTTCTGTTTTCTGTTTGTAAATTATTTGGTAAGTGTATTTTTCTCTAGGCCTTTTTCCTTTAGGTTCTGCAAGTGTAAAGGATAATCAGATTAGCTAGACAGCTACAGCCTTCCTCCTTTGACAGAAGTAAATGGGGAAGGGTTCCAGCCCTTCCTGAAGGTGACACTCTGTGAGTGTCCATGAGAGGCAGCTATCTGGCTCTGAACTGCAAACAGAAATCAGGTGTTTTAAGACTGAATGTTTTTATTTATCAAAATGTAGCTTTTGGGGAGGGAGGGGAAATGTAATACTGGAATAATTTGTAAATGATTTTAATTTTATATTCAGTGAAAAGAATTTATTTATGGAATTAATCATTTAATAAAGAAATATTTACCTAATATCTGAGTGTGCAGCTTTCATTATTTTTAGAGACTGTCCAGAATCATTGGGAACAATCTAGCTTATGCATTCCATCATTCGGACGGGATTTCTTGAGTGCCTACTTTGTGCCAGGAACTGTTCTAGGTGCTTGGGATAGAGCAGGGAAGTAACCCACAAAAATAAGACAATGATTGCTTTTTTTATCTTCAGTAGAGAAAAATCTTTGCATTGAAAGTAATCTGTTTAAACAACATGTGTTGAACACCAGGCATTGTAGGAAGCAGGAGAAGGAATCTGAAGCTAAGTTTGTGATTTAAATAATAATGCTTTATTTTCACAAGAATTCAAAACCTAGGGGTCTCCATCACCCGATCACTGTGAGGAGGGTCCAGTTGAGTCATTTATCATTTTAATCACTAGGTTATTGTACATGTCACTTCAGTAGAGGACAGAAACTTTAATGAAAACAGTCCATAACCCAGGCTGCCCAAACTAAATCCATGGGCAAGATTAAGTATGGTTGGATAATGTGTTATAAAAAGCCACTTGTTTAATAACTTTCTATCTTTCCAACATTGTTCCTAAAACTTAGAAAAATAACTTAAAAATGTACCTTTGGTTGGGATCAGAGAAAAAATCTTGCAGTCTATAGGAGTCAGTTTTCACTGAATGAGCTTGAAGCAATGACTTGTGTTAATCCTAATAAGCCGGTGATTAGGTAAACATGCTGTTAAATGCAAAGGAATGCAAGGAATTTCAAGTACTTTTCCAATAGCGTGAGGACCAAGCTACCCCGTACCCCTTTCCTTTTTATAATATACATTATATTGATGAGGGGGTGGTGGTTAGAGAGCGTTGGCTATCCAGAAGGTCAAAGGCTAGATGCAGAGCATTCCTTAAAGAAAAGGACCTGACTTCTCGGTCCAGGAGAGGTTGAGAAGGCTGCATCAATGTTTGTGAAAATGTTGGTAGCCTGTTTTAGAAGAATCCACATCTTTAGAAAGCACTGACAATAAACCTTTTATAGAGAGAAGTTTTTCTTTCATCGACCCTCTTGGCTCCTGTTCAAATCCATAGTGAAATATTTCAGTCTGCACTTGGTTAAGAGAGTACTTGAGTTTTTATGCAATAAGAGAAAGTGCTTTAAAAGGGGAGAAAGGGAACACTTCCAGGGTCCTGTAAGGGTGATTTTTCAAAAATAGTATTGATGCTTTAATGAAGACCTACAGAAAAAGCATTCCTAAGCATCTGTTTTAAAGCCTTACCGAAATGCATAAAGGTTAATATAAACAGGATAGTAAAATCTATCGGCAAAGGCCTTCGCTCTTCTGATTTTGATGATGTCTTGCCTGAAGTCTAACAACTTGTGTCTACTGAGTAGTCAGTTTTTCTTGCCTGAGGCATTCAAATTTTAAGGTATTTGGGAATTTCAACACCACCTGGCTCAGTCTTGGATGCAGTTAAACTTGTCAGTGCAACATAATGCGTGAAACATAGTAAAGGTGTGGGGTTTTTGTGGTGCAGTCTTGTTGAACAAACATCTAAGTTCATAGGGAAGATTTACACATTCCCAGCCACCAATCCTGGGGTATTTTCCCCCAAGAGTAGAGCCCAGCAAATGACTTCTTACATAGAGACCAAGGAGCAATATTTTATAGATCCTTTAAGCGTGTAGGGAGGTGTGTTTGTCCAAATAAGCTTGGATGTGAAACAAAACCTAGCATGGGAAATACTGGATCTTTGGGTCATTGATCTTATTGTAGTAAATACAACAAGGGGACGTGCAAGTGCTGGTTCTGTTTAGATGAGAGTGATCAATTAATGCAAAAAGATGAATAGACACAAATTATGTCCATTTTATTTGGCCATAGGAAAAAAGTGAAGAAATTCCAAGTAATTGAGAATGAAATTATGTGATTTAGA